CATGAAAGGATGCTTGAGGATGCATCTCCGTGGCTGGATGGGGAACTGCATACAATCCCAAATTCCACTGATGAGCAGTTGCAGAAGCAGAATTGGAAGCTGGATTCAATCTCCCTGCATCATCCCTGTCTCTCTGCCAAACAGGCTGGGATGTTCTTGTTTCTCAAAAAGAACCACAGGTCTGTCTCCATGGCATGTTTGTACACAGGACACAGAGGACGAAAGCCTGCAGAACAACTGCCCCTAAGTGTTGTTCATGTGGCGTTTCATTCTTCTTAGCAATTCGGAACACAACACTTAGTTGAGATAGCTTAAATTCTGTATAACCAAATACTTAATTCAAATGGATCTCTGCCAGAGCTGTTGACACACCCACTCATCATGAAGAGATGGCTGCCAACCTTTGGAATGGAACTCTTGTGACAACCCTCCCTGTTCTGACTTAGACCAGTAGCACCCCCTACAGCGTCCATAAGCTCAAACTACTCTGGATACCTGAATAGGCAGTGGAGGGGGGGGTGTTCCTCCAGTATGCATCCAACACATAATCTGTTATGATGGTCTGCTCGGTTTAAATTAACTGGATTTTTTTTACATACAGTCACTCTCCCCTTTCTGAGAGTATTGAACTTGACAGAGGGGGAAAGGCTTTGTAGACACAAAAAAGCCACATTTCAGAGATCCTTTTTCTAAGATATTGTCCCACAGTTACCAAATGTCCATTTTCATATTCATACCATGTGTTCAGAAGCCTTATATAATAAGTGTGGACCTCAGTGTTCACGTGAGGAATGACTTGATTGAAAATGCCCATATTACAATTGCTCTGTGTGTCAGAAACATAAAGAAGGATGTCTTTCCGGCTTTCTCTACAGTGTGGTACATTTTAATGCCATGGCGTGATTTTCTTATGGAATACCTTTCTCATTTGAAAAGTGAAGTGGTGCAGGTTATGACACTGAGGCCAGCGCTCTATTGCTGCTCCCAAACAAAAGTAAAATGGAAGCAATTGCTGAGTGGTGAGTAAATGTTTGTGTAAATCCCATTGAATCCATGGGTCTGCTTTAGTTGAAGTGAGCACTAAGATACTGGCCTGAATGTTTAAAAGTGGTAAAAAAATAAATGTTTTATGGTTGTGATATTGAAAGCACCCACTAAAAAGGAGTCATTTGAAAATCAAGGACCTACTGTATCTTGGATCCTCCTGAGGAGCAAGTTGGGGTAAAAAAAAATTTTTTTTATAAGAGTAATACAGAGATTTATTTTATAAGATAACAGGACTGAAATATTTACAGTGAATGAAACACATATGGTAAATCCAATATAATAGCAACAGTTACATAAATAATGTAGCCATTTTCCACAAGGTATGTGTGTTAGTCTTCTTCAACATACTGTAGTTCAGTGTCCTTAGGAGGCAGGAGATACATTATGTGGGAGGGAAAAGTTTCTTCTTCTCGACTACGTAACACAAATGTTTTTAAGGTTTGTTCCTTCATCACATTAGGAAGATTTTAGTCCTGTGTCTTATACGGAGAAGATGTCTAACAGGCTGCAGTCCTAAAGACACCTGCTGAGCGGTGCAGGGTTGAATGGTGAATCTTGCAGAGTGAATACTATTGAAGTTATTAGAGCACTGAGTACAGGCAACGTGGTCAACTGGTCTTTCTCAGACTGTTTAGCATTGACATAATTATGCCTATAATGGTTTTAGAAAGCATCAGTTCCCACCCTAACTCTGGTGTTATGTATGTCAAGTGTTAGGTGTCTGGGTTTCACAGTGTTGGGGCTACAGTGGATACAGAGAAACATACAGAGGCAGAGAGAAAGAAAAAGAAAATGTGATTGAGATGCTCTTTTTATTATTATTATTATTATTATTATTATTATTATTGTTGTTGTTGTTGTTGTTGTTGTTGTTGTCATCGTCATCATCATCATCATCATCATCATCATCATCATTACAGTTCTGTCCTTTAAGCATAACTTAAAGAAAATTGGGTGTTTTCATAACTTCCAGTGCTTATAAGAAAAGCTTACTTCATTTGCACACTTAAACACATTTACATGAGAGTAAATCTCATTGAAATCGGGTGCCTTGGTTCTGATGAGCCAATGTTTTAGATTCTACTGCATAGTTAATTGTTGAGAAAATCCAACTCTTTCATAAAAGAGACCCAACAGGGAAACTAGCTTTAAGATTCCCTTTGGGCAGCATGAACCAAAGCCACAGTAGAAGTGATGTAGTCACAGTGAATAGTAGGAAATAAAGAACTACAACTGTAATGAGGAAAGGAAGCCAGTATTGTTTAAAACTGTTGGCTGCAACAAAACACTTTTACAGAGCTTGTTGGCCTTGATCAGAGCAGGTATCTGGCTATATCTGTACTTGACCCTTTCTCAATCTAGTTTCTAATAGAGGGCTGGGAAATCTGTTGGCAGGAACACCAAAGCTACCAAGCACATCACAATTTTCTGGAGAGTAAATCAGAGCAGGACTGCAAGGACCCACCTCCCATTCTTAGCCAGGAAGCTCACTGTGTGAGCTTAGACCAGCCTCTCTCTCTCTCATCTTTCAACCTACCTCACAGGATTTCTTGGAGAATAAAAAGAGAGAAAGATATGTGCATGCAGCTTTGTGCTGCCTAGAGGAAGAAAAGAACAAAATGTTGTAAGTAATACTACCTTTAACAAGTTATAAGTATCTAACAGGAATATAGTTATAGAGCAGTTATCACAGAATTTGCCTACTTACGCCATGGCACATCATCTCTTCAGACTGATGTTGTCCTCTTGAGAAGCCTTTAACTTGTACTTCAAGATTTGCTGCCCCAAAGGCTTTCAGGGACAATGAATCACATCAGATAAGCAGTAGCAAGCTATGTGTATCTGTGTCTCTGTCTGTCTGTCTGTCTCTCTGTGTGTGTGTGTGTGTGAACAAAACATAGTATTTCCTGTTTCTGTGCCTGAGAAAAATAGATGCCAATACTCCTTTTAACTGCTTTTATGAGCTTTGTGTTATCCTCCCTTTTCCAACTTGTGTTTGGATGACATAGAGAACATAAGCGAGCCATCGCTTGCAGCTTACCACCACATATCCAAAATGTGTCATAACCCCCTGAAGACATTGAACTTTAATATGTATTGTGGATTTGGAGGAAGTTCCATCCACCTTTCATTAAGAAAGTCATTATATAATGACATCATGGTCTGTTCTATGACAGGAGGTGAAGTGGGGAGTCCTGGACTAACAGCCATGTCCCTTTAGATAATTTATGCTATCATCATGATGGCATGAAACACTGGGCGGGTTATCCCAAGAGCCTTCATGTGTTACTAGATAAAGCTTTTTACAGGATCTCATCCCAGTACTAAACCATTATGACCAAAATTCACTGCGGTCCATTTTATGGACCTGAAATTATTCTTAGTCTACAATTGCCTTTCATAGCTCCCCAGCCCGATATATGTAGCGGCCACTACATCAATGGCACACAGTAGCAGCCACCTAGAAGAAACTGCAGTTTTCTATAGCAGAGATGACAAGCTATTTCTTCTTCACACCCTCTTTTTTCATATCACACACATAACTACCTAACAAGCACAACAGTATCTCCCTTTACAAGATTTATCCATACTGGTAGAAGTCTTCCAGTTTATACAAAGCTAGCTTGTTGGAAATAGTGCACACAAGAAACAGTACCTTGGTTTGATTCTCATGTGTGCAGCCCATGTAGTTGTTGCAAAACTAATAGGTTTAGTCCTTTCACATTGAATCTGTGTGACATGATTCACACAATGTAAAGACATGCAATGAAGCTTTCTTGTGAAGGAGGCAAGTGTGCTAGAACATCCTTCTCTTTACATTCACCCAAGGCAGCAGGACCTTCTCCAGCAAGATCCTTCTCCAGCAAGCCTCCGGGAGCTATCTTGACCAATGCATTCTGCTTAAATCAACCTGACAAAACAAAACTTGGAATTTAAAGTTGTTGAACCACCACTGGTGTGTGTGTGAATGTTCAGTACACCTTGACTTTTCTTCAGCCACCTCCAAATGACTTGACAGGAATCCAAATGAGTTTTGTCTCACGAATGTCTTGGTGCACACCTCCTAATAGAAAATTGACACAATGTGTGACAAGACAGTAATGTTAATTTCGATACCTTGACATACGCTGGCTATGAACAGGGCTGTCCCTACCATTAGGCAGAGTGAGGTGGCTGCCTCTGGAAGTGTTGTAATGTGGTAGCAAATGGTTAGTTAATTAATTTTTGTTGCTATATTTTGACTGTAAGAGAGAGATGTACTTTGGGGGATGGGGTTTGCTTCATGTGTCCAAATGACGTGGCTAGCTTTTGATTTGGGTAAGTTGTGGGAGTGGCTTGATTTGTTCCTCTTTCTCATACAGCAGAATGTCTAGGATTGGTCCTGGCTATGACCAGTACTTCAAGAATCTTAAAATAAAAAGGCATAGTCAGAAAATATAATATGGTGATTGTAATATGGAATATTTCATACAGATTTCAGAAATTGCTTGACTTAGTGCTTGTTTGTGTTCAGAAACACAACAGCTGAGAATGTGGTCAACCTTTCTGCAGTTCCCCTTACCTCTGCTTGGATGTGCAAGATGATGGAAGGCCCTCGTAGATCCCTATATCCAGAAGAATTCGAATATTGGTTTTCATACAAGCACTGCGTTCGTTAGCACTTGGAAAAGTTGCTTTTTAGATGACATCTCCCAGGCACAGACACTCCTGCCACCATGACCATTGGGAGTTGTAGCCATGCACCCGAATTCTGAGAGTTGTGATCCCAAATACTATCTTTTCCAAATTCTCCTCTGGGGACCAGGTAGTGGGGTCTTCAACTTGTGAAGTGAAGTTAACATTGTGTAGATTCATAGTTCTTGCTATATTTCCATGTTGTAGTATGAAAATGTGCATGATCAGCCATTTTGGTTCTCTTACTGACCTTTTTTTTTGTCACATTTTGACTGCAGATTGAATTTGTAGATGTGATTGCCGAACCGGAGGGGACCCACAGCTTTGACGGAGTCTGGAAAGCTAGCTTCACCACTTTCACTGTGACAAAATACTGGTTTTATCGCTTATTGACCACAATCTTCGGCATTCCAATGGCTCTCATCTGGGGCATTTTCTTTGCCATTTTGTCGTTCTTCCATATCTGGGCAGTGGTGCCCTGCATCAAGAGCTACTTGATTGAGATCCAGTGCATTGGCCGTGTTTATTCTATTGGCATCCACACCCTCTGCGACCCAATTTACGAGGCCGTTGCCAAAATGTTCAGCTCCATCAAAGCAACAGTGCGGAAAGAAGTGTAAATGACGTTTCAGAGAACCTGAAGAATGGGTCTCCTCCACCCTTTGTGTCACTATTTGGAGTGCCAGTCTCAAGGCTGTCAATGGTTACCAACATACAATAATACCAGATAATGAAATGATCAACCTGAACGCAGCAAAAGAAATTGCTGACTCAATTTTTCTTTATCCCTCCTCAATTTATGTTACTCTTTTCAGGAGAGAGGTCAATTTGCATTTTTAAAAGTTTCTTTTTTTAATGGCTGCTCTCCAAATTCCTATCTGCGTATTGATTTGCTGACCTTTTGACAAACCAGCTTATGTTCTGCTTACCTCTTCTGTTTGTTTGTTGCACGTTAAATTCATGACGATATAATAAAGAACTGCAAAAATGCTTTCCAGCACTACTGTAATACAATACTGCTCTTCATTTTACTGTGAGCAATTTTTTTTAAAAAAGGCCTAAAGCTGTTGCAGCATAATGGACATGACAAGCTGGCAGATTTTAAAAGAATGTTCTTTTTTCAGATGTATTGTCTGTCAACTGTAGCTCTTTACTGTAGTGGACCATATCTAACTGCTGCGCAGAGGGAGATCTAAGTAAATAACTAATATATATGTTCAACAAAGAGAAAGAGAGAGACAGAGAGAGAAATCAAGTGCCTTTAGAAAGATAAAGCCTTCAACTTGGACATCCACAGAAAGCTGTCCTGTGTTGTTGACCCTCTGGAGAGATTATTTGCAGATCTTTATCATATGTTACTAAAAGAATGCCTTAATGCTTTTTAAAGAAATACTGAATTATTCATCTATATCTCAGTGTCATGAACTTCTGATCAGCTGGCTCTCGCCTGTGATTCTCCACATCTCCCACTTGAGATTCCCTAAATGGATACACAGTTCCAATGCGCACCACTGAATGACGACTCCTGCAAATTTTGATGTTCAGGATCAAAACTGAAGTCAGAAATGTATTGTGAATTTATTTTCTTGATTTTTGAGTCCAAGTGTAAAAGCACTTCCATCAGCAAAACTCATATGGCAGGGTTCATACTGGATAATGATTTGCCCCTTAGCAAATATTAGTCTTTTTTTTTTAAAGTAACTTGTTCATAAACAGATGTTTCAAAGAAAATAAGCAAATATTAGTCTCCCTGTGAAGGGACTTTACAGACTTTTCAAAATGGGTGTTTTGGTTTCTCCAACTCGTGTGGCACCATGCTAAGCTATGAACTGGGTTTCTACAATTGGTTTGATGTGGCTGTTTTCTGTGAGGGGCCAGCTTCACAATCCCTTGTCCGTCAAGGCCAGCATGTTGCTAGCACACCCACGCTTTGCTTACTTCATGCTAATACGCTACAAGTGTGGCTTCAGCAACACTATATTATAATTGTCTCACCACCAAATCCCTGCCTAAGCTGTACACATGAATCAGAAAGTCTTTATAGAAGTCATTTGTGCAAAGCTGACATAAAAAAAAATTGCAGAAATAAAGCATTTGCAATGTAATGTCATGCTGTGACCTGCTTGGAGGCTTTAGACTCACTATAATGTAGCTGCAGTGAGATAATATGTCTGTTGGTTTTGCATGAATTGGTTGCTTTTTCCATAGTTGTGAGGTTAAGCTAACTGAGATAAGTCCTTCTGAACTGAAACTGAGGAATTTCAAGGCTGGTTGAGGTTCAGTCAGCACCACACACAAAAAAGGCCCTCATGTTGCCCATCCCTGCCATAGTGCTGTTCATTGAGACCAATACCAGACCAAAGTATTTGGCTTCCTTAAGTGGAGCCCAAATTGCACCTTTCTTCCTCACCAGCTTTGTCAGTAATAATGCTTTAGAAAATATTCCCGCCTACATCTGTTACCCACTCCCTTCATCCACAGTGTCCTCTGTGTTAGCTTGTCTCATCCTGCCACATGGCAAGGCTGGTTCTCCATGGGACAGGTCCCTAATAAGCATGCCTGAGAGGGTGATACTACTCCACTATCAAAACTGCCCAACTAGTGAATTAGAAGTAACTTGTGTTTGCAGTGCCAGGACTTACTACAGACACATCTGGGTTTGTTTCCTGAAATTAGTTTTCCCACCATTTCTACAAGGTGGTTCTGTAAACTGCCACAGGAAAGGAGATCACAATGGCCTGGGTGACAGTTAATTACATCAAGCTCTCAGGTACCATACCCTGCAGGAAAGTAACAACCCACTGGTTTCAATAGCTTGCTTAACAATAATTTTATGGCACAATAAACACTCAGTTGTTGTAGCAGATGTTGACTTCTTTCCACAAGGTAGTGCTTCTTACTAGAGGGTGGTGGATCACATTTTTATTGGCCTATAACCCTAATAAATCTGTTTATTCATTTAGATTTTCATAAAACTCAAGCAGTCATCTTTTATTGTTGGAGAAATGCAGTTCTTCGTCCAACAAGTACATTTACTTCTGTATTTGGAGTCTAGTATGGGTCACGGCTCCCATTTTGTAAACAATAGGAAGGGCACTCTCCCATTTATATACTTGCCTTTTTAAAAGTCTTGTTTTAATTCTAAGGATATTCCCTCTCTTTAAAAACTATTAAGAGTTTTTATTTAAACAAGAGACACAGAGCAGCTCTTTAACATAAAAATAATAAACCCTCACACAAGGACCACCCATTCTAACGGTGCCTTATTATTACATTAAAATTGCCTCCCTTCTTCTATTATTTCTGATAGCTGAGTGGTAGAACACATGCTCTCCATGCCAACGTTTCCAGGTTCTGTTCCTGACATCTCTGGGTGGAAGTGGGAAAGCCTCTTGTGTGCAACCCTAGTGATTCACTGCCAGAGCCATTGTGCTGCGGGTACTGGGTGGGAGAGACAGCCTGAATCAGCATAAACAGGGTTCTCATGTACCTGACGTGTACCCTACCAACAGCATGTCTAGTCTCCTCCTGCTCTCTGGTTTTATATAGTGAGGGCCTTCTTAATCTGGGAAATGGACTTCTTTTGACCACCGTTCCCAGCCAGCATGGGTCCCATCAGCTTGCTCTTAAAAATACTTAATAAAATTAAAAATATATATATTCCATTTGGATTGAGACAGATTTAGGAGATGTGATTAAATACTGTATGCCAAGCCAACTTGACCTTGGTGGCTAGGATACTTTGTCACAGTCCATAACAATGTGCTTCCATGAAGTTCCACCCATTTTATTCAACAAAATCTGTACTCGGTTACCATAGAAACAGAAACTTTGTCAAGTTTACAAGGTAAATAAAATACGGTGATGCCCACACATTCTGTTTTGCTCAGTGGGAAAATCACTACTGAAGCCAATGACAAAATTCCATTCACTTTGAGTCCTTCTAAATAGGCCTCAAGGGTAAAAAGACCTACTAAGATTGGAGAATTTTTGAGGGTGTTTTCTTTTAATTGTGGCACATACATTAATATCCTAGTCACTAGATATTTTCTCTCTTTTTGCATTTAAAAACAAACACTGGTCTGGCTATATAGTTTTATGTTTTTACTATGTACATAAGAGTGTACTATTAGATATATATTTTGAAATATTGCAACACACATCTTCGGTGAGAATGTATACAAGAGATATTTTATCTTTATGTAAGGAAAATCACTTTGAAATCTATTTCATAAAGTTTGTATTCAAAAAGAGTTCCCAAATGCAAATGAGTTTCTGATTCAGGCTATTTACATAGCTATTATATGCTTACAAGTTATAAGAACTGACACTTTTTAAAAATTCTGCATGTTCTACAATCCAAGCTACAATCTGCACAATAAAATTTTAATTGTTTTAATAGAAACTCTTGCCTGAATAATTCTTTTCTTAAAAGATCTGGTTGCGGACGTTTAACAGCTCATCTGTACTAAGAGAATGACAGGCCAAACCATTGAAGCGTTCATACTGTGGTCTTATATTTTAAAAAATTCTACTGCTAACAGTGCATCAGTGCATCCTGAGACGTTTGATGCTAAATTTGTTTTTACTCTAATACTCAAATATGTTACAAATAACCTGGTGTTGTGTCAGTTAGAGACACCAAGCAGGCAGACTTCTATGTTTGCTGAAGAAATGATGAATCCCCTGCTTCAGTTCTAAAGACCAATCAAAAATGTATTAATTTGCAAACCGCAGGAGGTAAGAGAAGCTCTTGCTGTGCTATTCAGCCCTTAAGCATATTCATCTTTCAGTGAAGGTCTACCTGAAACAGCTTCTGTCCTAAGTCACTTTTGCTAGGGCTGATGTGAATATTATGTCTTCTGAAAGAGAATCATCTTGCTGCTTCATTTACAAATAAGACATACAATATCAAAATGCTTCAAAAGTCATATTGTCAACTGCCTGGAGGAGGAGGCAGCATCGCATCTATGGTGACAGGTCCTTGATTTGGAAAAAGCAGTGGCAGAGCCATGCATCATGCTGCCATTAAAAGCACAACAGTGCTGAGTACTTGTCAAGACAGCCAGTGTGGTCTAAAAGAAATCTCATGGCAGCTAAATATTAAATTATTTTGGGATGTAAGTGAGGGGGAAAATCCCCTCATTCCTATCAAAATTTGTGTATCAACCCCACTTCCAATTTAAAAAATAGTTGGAAGTTTTTATCTTCTTTTTCTTCAAACAATTCTGCTGAAGTAATTCTGAAACCTATTTTTCAGATTGTGAAAATGAGGCCAGAATAGTTGATTGCAGCGCAGTCAGGACCTCTGCGTGCATTACACAACAGCAACAATGTGTCTGCCACTGTTCATACCATGGTGGTCATTCCCAGCACCCAGGCATAGTTACTTGCACTCTTAACATGCATTTTCACGTGTTCAAACAGAATATGCACACATTTCACTGCCAACTATATTGTTTCTTAGAATTGCATCCCATTTTTGATGAAGATTCCTGGATCAGCTCATATTGAAATTAATCTTCAGGGGAAAAATGGGATGCACTTCTAAGAAACAATATAGTTGGCAGTGAAATGTGTGCATATTCTGTTTGAACATATAGATCATTTGCTAATTTTAACCCCAGCAGATCTCTTTACTTTTGGCAGCTACACTAGAAATGGAAAAGGTTTGACATTTTAGTCCACAAGTTGTTGAACCACTGGGATATTTTTCAGATGTTTTGAATGAGAAACTCAGAAAATGGGGGAGGGGGGATCACATTAAAAAAACGCTTTCCCCATCAGGCAGGTGAAGACATGGCTAAAGGGGGTGGGGACCCACTTCACAATTTGTACTCAGGAGATAGGATCCATTTTCAGATACAGATGTGAGACCACTTGCAGGCAGACTAGATGCCTTTTTCAATATCGAAACATTTGTTAAGCAATTAAAAGTTGACAATGAGGTAAGATCAAAATTACACCCAGCTCTCCAAGACTTGGTGTGTATTTAACCAAAATCACATCACCCATGTGAAAGTGCTGCAGAAGACTTTAAAAAAAAAAAAAAGGCAAAAAAATCCAGAGGGGCCCCATCCAAAAAAATAAAATAAAATCAGAAACAGTTATGGATTGGGCAGGATTGAACAGCCTCATTGGCCACAGAATGGGAAATGTCTGCCAATAGAGAAGGGAGGGATGAATGAATTAGAAGCATGGCTGGCTCAGTGGATTCCTAAATGGGAACGTTTCAGGCCCCACTCCTTTTCTCCTGTTAGAGAATCTGTGTATTGGGAAAACTTTGATAATAATTGTGTGCTGTCAAGTCAATTCTGACCTATGGCGCTCCTCTTCAGGGTCTTTTAGGTAAAGAGTACAGTACTCAGAAGCAGTTCACCAGTCCCTTCTTCTGGGGGCACCCTGGGACTCTGCAGCTTGCCCAAGGCCACACAGGCTGGCTGCTCTGGGATGCACAGTAGGAAACGGAACTCCCAAATTGGGAGTTCAATTCCTCACTGTGCCTAACTAACTCACTTAAACAGCTTAATTTCTTCACAGGAGTCTTACTGTACTGTACTAAGAAACAAATTAGCAACCCTAATTTCACTCCTCCCAGACAGGGAGATCTGATACTCAAATGTTCTGATTCAACTCAAGTTAGTTACATAGGGCTCTCTAAAACTAGTTTTGACTACTAGTGGCCTCATTGGCTTCAATAGAGTGAAATACAATCAAGTTTTAGTTTGATGAGGATCAAAGTAGTTCTGGCAACTAGCTTGTTCCATTAGAAAGACTGAAAATTACATTTTATCATATTAGTGAACTTGCATCTATTTACATGATTGTAAGGATATCTAGTCCTGCCTTTTTCTCTTTCTCTGTGTTCTTTGTTTGTCCCAGCCCATGTAAAACAGAGTGTCATACCTAAAGAGTTCGGTGAACAGAATTTGCCAGCTGTCATAAAACAGATTGGTCTGTGAAGGAAGAAATGTAAAAGGATTTTTTAAAAAATATCCAAAAAAAAGTCATTTAGAGAACTGTGACAGAATGAAAGATAAATCCAGGAAATTCATGAAATCCAGCTTTTGAGAAATCTATATGAGAGTTATAACAAATCAAAAGAAGTACTGTGGCTTAGCCTAAATTATTGTAGAAGAAAAAGGGATATATGTAAACCACATCCAATAATGACATTGAGCTTTGAAATAATGCATCAATAATAATGAAGTGGATTCATTAGGAGACACCCATTATTAGAAGAGACCCATTGGCCATAATTAATTTAAGCCTCAGTGGCCTCAGTGAGTCTCTAAATGTGGATTTTACCCCAAACTATATTAGGGGTAAAATCCAACAAAACCTATGTGAAAACAAAACCCATCATTAGCCTATTTGGCATTTCTAAAACATATAATTACAGTCTAGAGATGGGGGCTTCATATTTGTATGCAAATACAAAGCCCCCAAGCACAGGTGCCCAGCCTGATTATCTTCCCCCCCCCCAGAACCCACCAGACTACTTATCACGGAGTGCACATGGCTGGCATCATTTCCTTTGCCCCAATTGTGGCAGTAACTCAGCTGCAGCAGCCCCACCTCCCTGCTCACCCAGCCACTCGATGGCTGAGCAGGGAGACATGTCCTCCCACCCCCTTGCTGGAGTGGATAAAATTGGGGCAAAGGAGATGCCAGCCACACGCACTGAGTGCCACATGGCCAGTGGTCTGGTGGGATCTGGGGGTGGGAGGTAATCAGGCCAGCCCCCCGTGCCAGGGGGTTTCATATTCGTATATGAATACAAAGGCCCCTTCCCCCAATCTCTATTACATTCATACAAAA